GACTGTAAACACGAACGACTGTAGACCCGAGATTTGTAGACCCACGTCCCGTACACATGTCCAGACACGAATTATCCCTCGTCGGCGCCCAACGAGGTGCAAGACGGAGTTTCGACTTCTCCCGCCGCCGCCCATCGCACAGCAGCTCTGTACCGTTAATTCCATACTTCGCAAATAAAGCGACATCACGCCGCAAGGCTCGATTATGCGAGCAGAAGCGATGAGCGGAAGGTATTCGCGAAAATCAATTCAGAGCGTGTTTCGCTTCGTTTCACCTTCCGTGTTCGTTCTTCCTGCTTTAATTTTTATATTGCAATGTGTCAGGCATTTATTTAAAAAAAATTCCAAAATATTCCGCGTTCAAATATCAGATGAATACCGGCAATCTATTTTTTTTTTTTTATCGAAAGAAGTTGATTGCTTTAGAAACAAACAAGTCAATTCGATAGTTTCGAGAATTTTAGTCTCCATAGTCGCACGAATTCGCAGAAAAATGCGATCTATTAGAAACCATTGGTTTGAATAAAAAAAAAAAAAAAAAAAAAAAACGTGGTCGGTCAAAGAGACAGCACGAGTCTCGCTTATTGTTAGTAGATGTATCAGGGAGAGCTAGTCATTTATTACGCTACATTTTGCGGAGAAATACAGAGAAGAAAGGAGCCAAAGAGAGAGAAAAAGTCGACCGGGAGAAGACCTGGGTTAGAAGAGGGCTGAGCGAGCCAACGCCTAATTGCAATTAACAACTCGCCATTATTAGAATATACGACGCCTTGCAATGAGATAATGCAAATAAAACGAAAGTTTTAATTACTTTGCCGCTACGCCCGCCGGCGATCCGTTGTTACATCGCAGGATAATGGAAAGTTTACCGCGACACGGCTACCCCGCCTCCGTTTTATCCGGCCTCAAACCCTCTGGCTCCTTTCCCTCCAACCGCTCCGTCCATCCGTCCGTTCTCTTCTCGCCCCCATATCTTTTCTTTCGCTTCCCTCATCCGTTCCCATTTTCGTTCCACCTGATCTTTTCGTCTCATCGATGCGTTCTGACGTTTTCCCATGCGCCGCGATTAAATCGTAAGCGGTACACACGATTCTTAAACACGAGAGATCTCTAATCGAATTTTCCAGTACATGGCGAGGAGCCTCGCGCATTGATTAACACGTCTCTCTGATCCTCGAATTACAATAATTATTAATAATTTTATTTTCTGGATGGATATATAAGCTTGACGAGATGAAATTTTCTGTCACATTAATTATAAGTGATCAGTCTCTTGTCAATGCATTTGTCAAAGAATAAATTCTACATTAAATTATTGCCAAAGAATTATATTGTATAATCGATAACTATATGTTTATGAATCGTAATTTTTGAATAATCTAATCTAAATGGCAAATCATATCTCATACAATTTTCTTTTCATATATATGTGTAAAGTACTCTGTCAGAAACACGAATAGTTTCCAAAGTTTCAACGAGATAGCAACGCTTATCATATTGCTGACTTCTCGGAAACTTCTCTGTGCTAGACACAAGTTTTATAAAAATAAAGAAAACGTGCAAAGAGACACTCTATCTTTTGAAAAGCTTCTCTACTAGCTTCGTAACTAAGTCGTTCCGAACAAAGGAAATTTGAGTATACTTCCATCTTAGCTTTGTCAGCCGAGAAGCGTTGTTCCTCAATTTCCTTGGTGTGTTATAAAAATTTTTGGTATATCTCACTTACAGGCACTTAACTAAGTCGTTCCGAACGAAGGAAACTTGCGTACATTGCGATCTTGTCTCTGTGTGCCGAGAAGCGTTGTTTCTTTTTGGAGAAACTTATGTTAGATGTCAAAGTCGTTAGGCGTGCCGCAATATCGGACGGAACCCAGGGGAGCCGAAGGGGAATCGACGTTATTGTCATCATTGCATGACAGTGGTATCGATCTATTATTGATTGTGTGCAAAGAGACACTCTATCTTTTGGAGAAACTTATGTTAGATGTCAAAGTCGTTAGGCGTGCCGCAATATCGGACGGAACCCAGGGGAGCCGAAGGGGAATCGACGTTATTGTCATCATTGCATGACAGTGGTATCGATCTATTATTGATTGTCGCTTCGCGAGTTTACCCTTACTCCGTGTTACTTTAAGCTCCTTGATCGTTGTTCTGGGTGTTCTACGTCTTACACGATGTTCTCGGTGTTCGTATATATATTTCTTCTCTCTAACCATGACTGTGCCACGATATATTATTTTTTAACGTTGTACGGATAGCTCTCTCCTACCTTCCTTTTTCTTTATTCTTTACGTCAACGTATCTCGGATGTTCGTCGTTTAATTCGGTGTTTCGCCGTTGCACTCGATGTCAGTGGCTGTTCTCGGTGTTGCGCTGTCGACCAATGTTGGTTGTTGCTTCGCTACGAGACGGTGATACGTGCATTGCGAGACTTCGCGAGATCGTCTGTACCAGAAATCCGACACGAATCCGTTTCGCGATCGGCAACACCGTCATTTGCGCAATTGAAGATATCATTATAAAACGTCATTTTATCGTGCAAGAAAAATAAATTCAATTTTGCCAAAAAAAATTTACAAAAACCCACAAAAAATTCCATAATAATTATTTTTTTTAGATCGCTCAAGAGATTATTTTTCTGCATACAAATTCCGCGTGCATATTTTCAGAAATAATTGTGCACGCATAGCAGTATAATATTTCAAATATATTTAAATTATTCATTATGTGTCACAAAAGCTTCTTTGAGGAAAATTTCATTATGCAAGAAAGACGATTGTATGAATTTAGGTATCTCAATTATGTGTGTGTTTCGCGTAATGTCCCGCTATTACTTTTCAATAGAAGTAGACGCGCAAGGTAGTCATTCCCATTAAATTCGCGTGCACGTACCGCGTGTGTGCCAATTAGAGAGGCGAAAACCAATTTCAGGATCAACGATCGCGCGCTCGACACGACGACGGGCTTTAATTTATGGCTCGTTCTTCGTGATTTCGTCGTCCACCGCAATTCCCCTTCGTGCTCTCCCTAGTCGGAACCGGAAACCCGTCGACACTCGTGCTAATTTGGGTTTCGCGTGACAGCCACGATCGAGTTATTACCGAGACGAAGTCGTTTCGCATAAGAGAGGGGGTGGAGTTTGTCACTCTTTGCGTAAACTGCAGGACAGGTTTGCGATTTCTCGAAACGCTAACAAGTACACAAGAAACATAATTTATAATTGACAAGAAAGTTAGTATTAAATCGGTAATTTACTTGGAAAATATTATTCTTTCTCATATCAAACTGGCCGCGAGCTACGAAGAACTTTCAAATCGCGAATCGTATCGCTTTGCAAATTTCGCTAGCATGAATGGCACGGTATATTTATCTCAAGAAAGTTTCATTCTTTCGGGTCTTAGAATTTTGTGACTGGAACTTTGTAAACGACTGTAATTCTCTGTTTTCGACAACTGCGATTTTAAACTTCTCCTCCCGGACAATCGACGAAGATCACCTTTGGATCGGATGAAAATATCTTTGTAAAACCGCCGTAAAATTTTGCGTCTGTGTGACATTGGTTCTTAAACTTGCCGGGATTCGCGATAATAATCTTATCAATTGATAAATGCATGTTCAACCAGCCATGTAAGATTATCGCTGAGCATCGACGTGCCGGAAGTCGTAATCGAGCTCACAAAATGAACAATTATATAATATCATGATTCGACTAGCATATTTCCCGGAGGAATCTTTCCGCGAAAGATCTTTTGGGGAGAGGTGAGTAAGTCGCGATGAGTAGCATCGTAAAAGTTGAGTGGCAACCATCTCATTACTTAAATGCGTCCGTTAGTCGAAGAGAAGCTCTGGGCAAGAGAGCAGAAGTTTCCACGGTCATAATCGCCGCTAATTGACGTCGGAGTTATAAAGTTCAGTGAAATTAGCTAAATCCTTATTTGGACTGCCGTTATTCGGGTAGTCTTCCCTCCCTTCGTTTCTCTACTCTGGGGATTTTCTCTTCTCTTAAATTAAACCTCGATGTCTTTGCCATTTTAACACCGGAAGTGGAAAGAAAGACTTACTTGAGCAGCCGTAGGATATCGTGATAATTGATTGATGTGCAAAAATCTAATTAAGAATAACATACATGGAAGTACAAAATGTAACGTAATTTTGAAGCTCAGATCTCGCTATAAGCTCTCAAGATTAATTCATATATCAATTAATGTTAATATTGTATCGCGACCTCGTTTAAATTTAATTAAATGATATAATTTGGTAAAGAAGAGAGACGAGTTTCTTCGCGCAGGGTGACGGCATATTTGGATCACTTAGAATGCTCATATAGAGGAGATAAAGCGACGGATTATCGTGTCTGGCGAAAATACGGGAGTATCGCACCATCGTAATCAGTGGCATCACTATCATCGTCACCACGTCCATATCCATTCACTCATCTCAGTATCCATTATTTCATCCATCGTCATTGTGTTGTAAATCCTAGTGTGTGTTGTATGTGTATATTTGAAAGTATAAATACTCAACGTTATTTGAATCGCGAGATTTCTATCAATAATCACGAGCATAATAATCCTCGTGACTTTTTCTAATCATTCGTTTTCAACTTTTGGTCATTTTCACATCATTTTCTGTCATTCACTCGCAGTATCTTAAACTTTTCGCTTGACTCATGTTCATGTCACTTCGCGTCATTTGCGTGAGACAAAATCATATTATATCATCATCATTTTCGCACTCGGACAGACGAGAGAGAAATCGTCAAGAGTCAACCGCAGATTCATCTTCATTCATCAAAAAAAGAAAAGACTCCAGATGAAAAAAAAAAAGTAATCAGAGAGAAAAGCAGCATCCGTTAGCGATCTCTCTGACGGGTTGAAGCTCTCGTATCGCGCGGAATCATTTATATTTACGAAGAACAGAACTCATCCAGAACTAACATTCTAACTTGAGTATTATACTTCAAGTTTAGATGTTTAGATGTGCTCTGATTTATATGGTAGGATGCTCTATCTCAGGACCCGAGGGCTGCAACCTGTTCATCTACCACCTGCCCCAGGAGTTTGGTGATGGCGAGCTCATGCAGATGTTCCTCCCCTTTGGCAACGTCATCTCCTCCAAAGTCTTCATCGACCGGGCGACCAACCAGAGTAAATGCTTCGGTAAGTGTGCGGCGGCACCGTGAACAAATTTCAGAGCTATGTCATACATCCGCCCGATGATCGATCCTTAACAGCCTCTACGCAAGATAGAACAGAAGGATGCCAACTGTTTGGTGAAACAATGATGTGTATAGTGGATACGCAAAATTTTAATATATCTCATCGTTTTTTATCGTATGATTTTAATTACGACGGAAATTACAGCAAATAATAATAATAAAATATATCTACACACTTATATATATATTTTTCTCGTAAAAATAATATAAAGCATTTTTACTTTATGCTGAAACATGCCTGTGTAAAAATATGATCACGACACAGCCTGTGCACGCGATATGTCTGTGATTATTATTATGACTTTCAATCAGTCACATATGCTACAGTGCTCTAAATGACTCTACACGTTTCCAATCAGTGGTGGATTAATCATGGAAATTTAATTCGTCCGTATTAACGGACAGACCAGGCAGACTGAATATGAATGCCGTTTCAATGGAACCAGAATCAAACCGCGCAGTTCTTTTCGGGGGACCGTACAGAGAGGACCGAAACAGAGAATGCGGATAAAAGCCGCTGGCGTTCCTTTGATTAATCGTATCCGACAGTATGAGGATACGGATAATTGGACGATTTCATTCGCGTCCATTCCTTGATCTACGTCCGCGTACGCCCACGCGAGCGAATTCATATATTCCGCCCGTGTATTTGTCTTTTTCTGTTTCAGAGCCTCGTCATTCATGTAAAAAGAAGATAGCATAGATTCGCAACAACGCGTCATTATGTCCGCATTTGATATTATTCATCCTTTTTTTATCCTGCCGTGCGTATAATTATGCCCGCGATGGAAAAATATGCAGAAGTTTTCATCATTTCGAAGCATTTTACCTACCGCGATCAATTCAGGGCTTTTTGACAGTTTCTGTCTCATTGAATAATTCGTTATATAATTATAATCAAGGCAATTGGGGGAAAATTTTCTCTTACGTGGGTTGTAAAATATATCGAGCGATGCGAAAACTCGGATACAGCTTGGCGACAAGCTCCTTCCGTGGAACGAAAGGTTAAAATAATCAGGGTGTCCCTCGATCCTGAAGTAAAAGTAATTTGCGGAGCAGAGTGAACCGTGGATGGACGGAAGACGAAGGGTCTGGTCAGGCGATTTAGACCGCCATGAAGGCGAAACTAAAATGAGATCGACGCTAATGGTCAAAATTGGCTTAAACCAAGAAACTCGTGACGATCTTTCGGGAACATTTCGGCCGAGGGGCTTCGTTATCGCGCACCTGCTTTTCCGATATAACTTGAGTAATATCCGCGAAAATTTTTTACTCTTCGCAGAAGATCTGGTTCATCTAAATTGTCGTCGCCAAATAATCAAATAGTCATAATAACAAATTATGTTTATATATATAAAGAGGATTTTTTAAACATATATATTATTTTAAGCATAGAAATATATTTCTTGAGATGGATAACAGGATGTAATTGCGACGAAATAAGGTTGAAACAAATATTTTTACATCCCATTTATTATACGCAATTTATTAAACTGTTACCATCAATTAGTTAACATATTTATGTCAATTTTATAATTGCTACTATAGACAAACATTTAGCAACTCTCTTTTTTTTACAACTGTATACATACATTAACAAATAAAGATTGTAACTTTTGTATAATGTCGAATAAAGATTTTGTTAAAGAATAGAAAAAACCTATAATATACTGCAGGATTCAATGTTCGGTATTTTCAGGTTTCGTGTCGTTCGATAATCCAGCGAGCGCGCAAACAGCAATCCAGGCGATGAACGGCTTCCAAATAGGGATGAAACGATTAAAAGTCCAGTTAAAGAGGCCCAAGGACGCCAGCCGGCCATACTAACCCACGTCCTAGCCTAGAAAATCTGGACGGGTCGCGCCCTACGTTATAACTTACAGAGTAAGTTTTTTCAGATTCTTTTTTTAATTACAATATTATCAATTTTAAAATAACGTCGATGTTATATTATTGTTTATAATTTTCCTCAAACAATAACACTATCAATTAATAAACGTGATAAATTACAATTTACTACATGCAAATTCAAATAAATTACATGATATTGTCACTCTGAATTACAGATGTCGTACGAGAACGTGAACTCGATGGATGCTCGACGATCAGGAGTGATGAGTTTGAATCACCGTTACAACGCTCTCCACCGTAACAACTTAGTATACTAGCTAGTTAATTCATTAGAGGGTAAAAGATTTAGAGGTCAGTAAGACAACAACGGCTTCAACGACGTTGAAGTTCGCGCGACGGCGGCGAAGAAGAGGCTGAAGCGAAAGCGATGAAGGATGTTCTGCGCTGAACCCAGTCCGAGAGAGAGGTGAAGACGAGAAGAGGAGGACGAGGCACGCTGAGATAACATTTCCTGGATGCTCGGATAACCGGAACGCTTCGTCGTTAGACAACATTGGCTTTCCCCTTTCTCCCTTTCACCAGTTCCCATTTCGAATCTGCATGTTTCTTTTGGGTCCTCCGCGAGTTTAGCCTCTGTCTCCTACTGCCAGGTGAGAGATTACGTTCGAGCTCGAGGGCGCGATTGCGAATAAGCGTGCAGCGGAACATTTCGAGGATCCGATCATCCTCCCGGAGAGACGTGCCGGAAACACCGGAAGTCCAGGCCGAGCTTGTCGTCCCGATATGACGACGCACCGTATTACACTTAAACGCACGACGTCGCGTAGAGACGATCAAAATCGACGACATCAAAACCGACAATAGCTATCGCGAAATATCCCGTCGAAAAATGCCTGTAGGACTCTCGTCGTGTTCGTTGCCAGTTCGACGATGCGATCGTACGCGTCGTGTGTGCGTTTGCCAAAAAGAAAAATCAGAACCGTATACCCGGTCCGATCGATCCTCAATAAGGACTCGATCGTACCGGATCTAACCGCGTACGTCAGCTAAATGGAACAGCTCAGCGATCACCAGCACGAGAGCCTAATAAATCTTTTGTACCGCACGAAGCGAACGATGTAGCCATCGCGATGAAGATCCCGCGCGGCGTCATCCTTGACGGCGGGACAGATAATAATCCCCGCGTGAGACTGACGAAAGTAAAATAAAACGCAGGCTCGTCCCGAACGCGCGGACGAGATCGATATCTCTCTCCCAAAAAGACACATGTCAATCATATGCTATACAGGGTGCTCGTCTGACGAAACGCGTTTGAACACTTTGAAAAAAAAAGAAAAAGACAAAAAAAAATATGAAAAAAAGCAGAGAATCAAGCGGCGAACATGGGCTCAGCGCCGGTCCGACATCCCCGCCGGATATCGGTTCTCCTTAACATTTAAGATTTATTAACATGTATGGCGCGCTATAGATTTTATATACTGCAGGTAGAGAGAGAAAGAGAGAGAGAGAGAGAGAGAGAGAAAGAGAGAGATAGAGAGAGAATGGAAGAGGAGTTCGCGCATGCCGTGCCGCGTCATATCGAGGAAGAGATGAGTCTCGCCTTCGAAATCGCGCGCGTTCGCACGGCGTTCTCGTCCTTCCTGACTAATAGCACTTATTACTACTATGGTTACGGTGATTATCATTATAATTATCGCTAAGTAAGTGACGCGCGAGTTTCCGGCCGAAAGTATAATCTATACCGTTATGGTTCGTGCGCGCGAACATCGAGAGAGAAGTCGCGTGCGGGCGCGATCGCGATCGATTTCGCGATTCGGTCCGATCTACAGGATCGATGATCGACGGATTGATCTTGCCCGAACGGTAAGCATCGCCCGAGAAATGTCAGGCAGGCTGTGATTGTCCAGACGATGACGATGTTGCCAACGACGGTCCTCTTTAAGTTTCGACGTTGTTCTTACAGCATAATATAATTGTATAATGATGCTAATTCTTCTGTTATTGTGTGGAAGTAGGAGAAAATGGGGGGTGGGCGGGGGGAAGAAATAGAGATAAAAAAACGAAAAAACCAAAGAGAGCAAACAATATAATATAGTTATATTGCGTAAAATGCAATATCTGTCCTAAAAACGCTTATCATCTCTGCGATACTAGAAGAGAAATAAACTAGAAGAATATCTTTTTTTTTTTTTTTTCGTTCGACTCTATAAGTATAAAAAATTGAGTTAGGAACGGATCGCAAGCTGATTTACTGTGCAATGATTTTAATAATTGGATTTACGTTTCATTCTCTCGATATTGTGGCCGGGACTTGTAATGGCGATGCCAAGAATGTCGAACATATTTTTGCGGAAGGAAAGGACCGCTGCCGATTGGCAGGTTCGGTACGCCTATCGATCAATCGTGCGTGTTCATATGGAATTCCTGTGACTGAAATAGACAAAACTTTTTTTGAACATTTCGCGTGCGATGCCCGGTCGGATACGCAGAGAGTCTCGGGCGATTTGTACGCGAGGGAAACGTACGCACATACACACACACGTACGTAACGCGTGTACGTGCGTATATACGTATCGAGATTGAAAGGAAGTAGAAACTTAGTAAATTATTCTAGTTTTAGCTAAATCAACGTCTAATAAATTATTACGCGGAGACACACATACGGAGGGGAACGGGAAGAGGGCGGGTTTAGTGAGACGCGAAATTGCTTGACGCGTCGCGCTGCCACGGCTACTTTACGTTTATATATTGCATTATACACAAACACATATATATATATATATATACACATAGATATATGATGAAACAGACCGAATATATAAAATACGCGTAGGGTAGGCGATAGGAGCGATGGAGCGGAGAGGAAAACTCTGATCTAGCGGAAATAATCAACCAAAGTACCAACACAACTGACATATATATACATATATAAATATATAAATATGAATTATTGAGAAAAGAGGAAGTATATATATATATATAAATATATATATATAA